GTTCTGTGCCCCACGCTGGCTGGGCAGCATCTGCCCCAGCCCCTGCCCTACTCCCTCCTTCACGGCGGGGGGCGTTGCTCTGGCTCTTCATGCCCCTTTCCTCCCCCTTCCCTTTTGCCACAACAGGCTTACCAGCTGGATGTTGCTGTATCGGAAATTGGATCGGTATTGTCTGATATGCCTCCTTAAAAATTGGCTATCGGTATCAGCTCCCAAAATCTGTTGGTGCACCCTTACCGATTTAATGTCAATTTTCCTTTTAGTGGAGATGATCTGATATGCAACTGATGTATCAGTACACCTCTACTTTCCACCTGTGTAGCAGGAACTCCATGGCCTGAGAAATAAAAGTAGCCTTAATGTCTTACGAAACTGAAATCAGTGCTGTTCTCTGGATTGGTAGTGGGGGGCCAGTTAGAGGTGCACTGATGCATCTGTCCAATATCGGATCAGTACCAATATAAAGAAAATTGGAAATCAGCCCAATGGTGCCAATAATTTGGCTCATAAATGTACATTCGTGCGCACAGCTGTAGCACAGCACTCAGGCAGCAAGGAGCACAGCCCAGCAGCATAGAGAGCTGCCTCCAGCTGGAAAGCCTGTTGTAGTAGAAGGGGAGCGGGGAGAGAAGGGGTGTGGGAGGAGGCGATCAACCCTTCTTCCCCCCCCACCCTGCAGTGAGGGAGGGGGCAGGGGCAAGCGCTGCCCAGCTGGGGTAGGGCAGGGTGCTAATTGGGGGGGGGCCTCGGCTCCTGCTGCTGCTTGCATCCTGGGAGGGCACGGGGCGGGGCGTGTGGGCTTTCCCATGCCTAAGTTGTTTAATGCAAGCATATTATCTATGAATATATATAGCAACTAAAGGGATATTATTTCACTGCTTTTTTTTTAGAGTTTTGAGAGCCTTCTTTTTTAAGCTTAAGCTATATTATTGTCTTCATTGAAACCCTGAGGCTTATTCTTTTAAAATTATACTCATTCTGTATATCTATATTAATAATCTTTATTAGGTTATCCTTGGAAAATACACTTGGCTCTCATATGATGACGTCTACATTAAAGCTGTTAATTTTGGAAATGGCTTAGGCATACTGGGGCAGCAACCAAAGTCAAACATTGCCATCTTCTGTGAGACTAGAGCGGAGTGGATGATTGCAGCTCAGGCCTGCTTTATGTTCAACTACAGACGTAAGTACTGTTCTTAAGTGAACATGTCATTTTAATAACTTTTGGTTTTTATAGCATGGTACAAAAATGCAAATATTCACAGAATGCTCTAAGTTTCTTTTAAATATATTTTATGACTGTATAGAATATATTATACTGAAAATGAAAAAAAGCTGTTGCACCAGTGTAAGTTGATTTTTACTCCTATTCTGTTACTTCACCTTAGGTGAATAAATCTGTGTCCTCCCTCTACATCCTGGATTATCCTGTATACAGTATCAGTCTGTGTCTCCTTTTGAGGCTAGTTTATACCCTGTTTATCTGTGAAAAAATGTGTTGATAAAAAGCCTTTTTTTGTCTTTAGATCTGAATATATATAGGCTTTGCCATCATTCTTCTGCAGTGAAATAAATAATGAAAAATCCATAAGAATAAATTGAGTTCAGTGTTTATCTGCACTTAACATGCTTTAGGTTTCTGGTTGGACGTTTGTAACTCTTGTCACTTTTGGAAGCTTGATTTTGATGTAGTGTTTGATTTTTACTATTTTGGATCAGAACTGTGAATCTGAGATTTACCTAATTTTCTTTCTACCTTCATTATATAACCTATATTGTCATATCTTGACCTGTCAAATTGAGCTTCCCGTATCAAATGGAATGAACCAAATTTAAGTAATTTGAACTTTAGTTTTCTATGCTGTTTGGCCAGCTCTCCTAAACCCTGTTTATCTGCCTTAATTTTGTCTCTAATTTTTCTTATTCTATTTGAATAATACAACTACTTCTATTTTAACAATGCTACTCCTTCATTTTAGACTGTCCCTTTATTTCCAATTTACTCATCCAGGATTGAGCCAATATGTCCAGTTTAGGCAGAGCAAGTTTCTCTTATTTTATTTTTATTCTTAATTATTTTTTTTCAAACACACTATATCATATGGTAAAAGCAGAATCTGAGAAGTCCTATTTGGGAACAAATGAGTGGTAAATAAGAAAAAAATGGTAAAAAGAAGTTCATTGTATTTGGATGACATTATGCTGCATTTGTTGAAGGTCTGTATTTGCACCAAAGCTCTAGACCAGAGTCCCTGGAACAGGCTGCAGCTGTTCCAGAATGAAAACTTTCAGAAGCTGGCATAAATCATTGTAGCTTCCTTGCTTACATCTTGTGTGTGGTTATGTAGGCATTATTGGTGCTTCATTTAACGGCTTGTTTTACTTTAAATCTTCAAGGAAGTCCATGTCAGTTAGTTTTATGATGCTCCTTTAATAATGATTGTTGGAATATTTATTTAGATATGTGGGTATACTTGGTAAGTAGGATAAATAGGTAGAGATCTTCTAGGGCAGTGATTCACAACTTCTATGAAGTAACGCTTAGTTTCTCACAGATCATTATATATATATATTTCATAGGATCTGGTAAAATATGTGGGCCAGTTAATGTAGCCTCATGGACAACAGTTTGAGAACCCAGTTTGTGGTGTGGAGTTATGGAACTAGATTGTTCTCAGTGGTGGCAGATGACAGAACAAAGAGTAATGGTTTCAAGTTGCAGCAGGGGAAGTTTAGGTTGGATATTAGGGAAAAACTTTCTCACTAGGAGGGTAGTAAAACACTGTGCAATAGGTTACCCAGAGAGGTAATGGAAACTCTATCCTTGGAGGTTTATAAAACCCAGCTAGACAAAAGTTTTGACTGGGATGATATAATTGGGGACGGTCCTGCTTTGAGCAGGGGGTTGGACTAGATGACCTTCTGAGGTCCCTTCCAACCCTCATTTTCTAGGATTCTGCCTACTGTTATGAGGAATTTGCAATGTGAGTCTAGCAACTACCTCCTTTTTCTGCCTTTTAACCACCTACCTCATTAATGCTCATACTCCTATACTGTTGTCTATTTTAATGCAACAATTTCTAGGAGATGCTCTTTTGGCTGAAGAACTAGTTTTCATTATGATGTATGGTCAATACTGAAACTCGTTCTTTAAGGGACCTCATCCATTATGCAATCTCTGTAATTCTGCTTGGGTATGATTTACTGGGCATAGATGAAATTCAAGCTTTACTGCATACATTTTTATGGATCCCTGCCATGAGAGACTTCTGGATAGTTCTTCTGAGGAAGAACCATTTTTTCTTCCCACTTGCGCTGTGTTTGTAGCAGATGCTACTAGCCTTGGCTTGTGATCATCCAAATCCAACTGTTCATTCAGTCAGAGACCAGGATCAGCATTGAAACAAAGTGATCAAGAGTCTTGCATGTCTTTCTGTCCACCAGGCAAATAAAACATTCTGGTAGATGAGTCCCAAATGCTGTGTCCATAATGAGTCATCTCTGAAAGTTGCTATGATCGAGTTAGGGTTTCAGAAGTTGGGGAGCACCTGAGTAGATTTATTTTTCCAATAAACTTGTCCGTTGGATGATTTCTGCTTCTGTTGATGTCACTGGAATAATGGGGCGTTTATGGCTTCTTTTTCATTTATTTGGGGAGTATAAAAGCAGGATAAAATGGGTATTTTTTCACTGTCACACTTAAGGTTGGGAGACTTGTTGCTTATGAAAACAAAACCTCCTTATTTTCTAACACCTTTTCCATATCTCTTGTCTTGGAAGTAGGGTCAGATCATGCATTTGGAAGATTGGCAAATGTTACCCTGGTAGAAAAACGATTGTATTTATTTGCATACCACATAGCACCTTTCCCCCAAAAATTTAGCCCTCCAAAATTGGGTATGTGTCTTATGTGGATAAGCTGACTTCTGCATTGGAATAAAAGCATGAAAATGCACTAATGACTGTCTTAGGCTTTGCTTCTTTCAGGCCTGGTATTCAACAGGGGTGGAATCTATTTTTCAGTGTCAGAGCTAGAGTTTTAGCCCTCTTGCAGCTGCTGCTGAATTGGCAGTAACTTTTGGCTGAGCAGCCAAAAAACTATGCCTTTGAAATAGAGAATTTTCAGCCTGGGCTACTAGTAAAGAAAGATTGTATGGTGCAGTGGACAGGATTACAGAGGCTGGTTTCCGTTCTTGATATGACTAACAACTTGCTCTCTTCCTCTGTTTCTGTGGGCTATGTTCCTTTTTTTTCTTTCTCATCTGCTTAGAATTTTAAGCTCTGGAGGCAAACAGTTGCTTCGATACAGATTACATTGGGTACTCAATTTTGGCTAAATTTGCTGATGACACTACCAAAAACCCATGTTCTGGCACTCGCACAGTCTGTTTTTTCATAGTACTTTTGCTTTCAGTGACTTCAGTGGAAATCTGAGTGTTAATTACTTCTGAAAATCAGAAAATCCCCCCTGCTGCTTTCCCACCTACCTGTCAGCTCCCAACTGCATGGCTGGACCGTGGGGTTCAGCAGGAGCTGGCCTGGCTCCAAGGATGGGGGCAATCCCTGTGGCCCTCCCCTGCCTCCTGCCCCCTTCCCCATACCTGAGTTTGCCACACTGGTGCAGCCATAAATAGCCCCACAGTCCCAGGCCAGAAACCCCTGCTAGGCAGGGGCTTCTGGGTTGGGAGGGGGAGGGGTGCGAGGGCCCTGCTGTTGCAGGAGCCTGCTGGGGCTTCCCTTTGGGTCCTACTGCCCCTACTTCCTATCATCTTTGACAGGAGTCAGGTGCAGATAGATATTTTCTAAAATTTTTAGGGGCCCCACAGGCCAGATAGAATTGCCTGGCAGGTGATATTTTGTCCACCCCTGAAGTAGGCAAATTCTTTGAGGCACAACACTTACATAGTTTGATACAAAACCTTCCCCCTTGTTCAGAAAATACCACTTGCATGTGCACATGGTTCTGGCTGTTGATAAAACTGATGATCCTTCACCTTTTGAACTGCAGGGGAAAAGCCCTTTTATCTGGCTCTTAATAGAGGGTTATTGATTTATAACATCAACCAGGAGAAAGATCCTCAGTGCTTAAGCGGTATGGGGTTTTTTGTTTTTTTTAAATATATTGGAATAATCTGATTCTATAATAAAGTTGTGTAAAAGTGACCTTTTTTAGCTCAGTGACTTGACTAAAGCATTTTTTGTTGTTGTTGAAATTGAGCTGAGCAAATTTTTTAGTTTTTTTCTCACTGAAATGAAAAATATTGTTCGTATTTGTTTTGCTTTTATGCATTTGAAAGTAAAAGGAATGAAAGGCTAGATTTACAAGTTGGGGGAGCAGGAAGTAATTGTATTTCACCTTTTATCCAATAGACCAGTAGTTAGGCAACCCACCCAGGATAGAGGATGCTTGAGTTCAAATCGGTCATCTTAGAAGAATTGTATCGCCTACCTCCCAGGAGAGGAACCCAACTACCAAATTGCAGGGTAGTTTGGGAAGGATTGCCTTTAATCTTTTCTGTTGTATCTATTTCACTTGAAGCAGGGGTTGTCAGTGTGCTGGGGAGAAAAGGAGGATGGACACTTCTGCAGAGCCTACCTCTGTGTGCAGGCTGTTAGCAACCTGGCTGTAGCTCGGGGCGGTCAATTATTTTGGCTGGAGGGCCACTTAATGACTTTTGGTGAGCTGTCAATGGCCGCAGGGATAGTCCTGCCCCCTGGTCCCCACCTTGGGACTGGAAGTCTCATCTCTATTGTCTCTGTATGGCTGGGATCACAGGGCACAGCAGGAGCCAGCCGGGCCCAGCCAGTCCTCCATTGTTCCCGGTTGCATGGCCAGTACTGCACACTGCAGCAGGAGCCAGCCAGGAACTGCAGGGCCCTGGCCGGGCTGGGCTGGCTCTTGCTGCGCCAGTGATCCTTCTTCCCGACCTCCCTCTGCCTGTTCTTATCTGAGTTACCAGTCCCAGACGGAAGGAGTGCAGGGGGAACAGTGCCAGGGTTGTCAGGCCAGAAGCCTCTAGGCAGAACCTTCTGGTTGGGGGCTGGGAGTGGGGCGGGGCCAGGCAGGCCTTGCTGCTGCTGCTGCTGCTGGGTCCTCCCGCTGACTCCTCCTGGGTCCTGCTGCCATTGCTGCCTTCTCATCTTTGATAGGGAGCCATGGGAAAATAATTAATTTTCTAAATT